TAAAAGTAATTCAAATAAGAATAAATATCATTTTAAGCTTTGGTAAAATTCCGTATCTATATTTCATCTTTATAAAATTAATTTCAAATTTTGAAATTTCTGAAAGAAGTACAAAAGAATAGAAAATATTGCTTTCAATCCCTTGAAAAAATTTTCATCTACGAGTATAATCCTATTTATAAAATTATTTATGAATTTCTGAAAATTCTAAAAGCAATTCAAAAAATAAAGCAATATCTATTTTAATCTTCCCTAAAATTCCATATTGATAATCCTTATTTAGAAAGTTAATTTCAAATTTCTAAAAATTCTGGAAGGTGTTCAAAAAAGAGCACAAATATTACTTAATCTTTTTTATCCTCCTTATCTGTATTCTTTGTTTATAAAATTAAATTCCGAATTTCTAAAATGCCTAAAAGTAATTCGAAAGAGTCTTAGTACTGGGTTTTTTTTTATAAAATTTCTTATTTTTGATCCTTATCTATAAATTGTACCCAGTTTCTCCAAAATTACGAAATTAGTTTAATTGCAAAAATTCCAAAACATGTTCACTACCTTTTTTTTTTAGACTCAAAACCTACTACAAAACTATCTTTATTTTTAATATGAATCACAAATTCCTAAATTAATTCGAACTAAGGAAAAGGTTAGAAAAAAATTTATGTAACATCTCTACAGTAAGTGATTCCTTTACCAACAGGCAATGAATTTCGATTGCAATACTTTATCAAAACAATGCTACTTCTAAGGAAAACAGATGTAAAACGAAATTCCATCAGATGATAAAGCACAAAAGAAATTGAAATACATTATTATTTCCATTCAAAATAAACAAAATGATTCCATCCCTTCTGTTTATGTAAAACCAGTTCTACTCAACCAGTATAGAGTAATGTTATTTCGAACAAAGCTTTCGAAGCTGAAATGAAATAAAACAAAGTAGTGAATTCTTGAAATGAAAACAAACATTCTCATTGATTTTATTGCAACACAATATAATTTTTCAACACAAAATTCTGCTGAGCAATTGATTGATAGTGGAAGATGTTTTTTTTTGCTTCAAAAGTTTGCCGTAAAATCTTGCTTAAATATTTGTTGAAATTTTTTCAAAAATAATTTTAATACTGTTATAACATTCATCATGAATTCTGTTCTGCACAAGGAATTAAAAGTTCAATATATTTATTATATTGCTCGTTGTATACAACAGTGCTCAGAAAAAAAACAATTTTGTGTTTTGTTAATTAGCTGTAATAATATGTCGCTGCAATATTTAGACGAAAAAATAATAGTTCAATCTTCTCTTTAATTCGTAGGAGCATTCCTGCTCTATGTGAAAATGGACGCAATTTCTATAAAGAAGCCATATTTCAAATAATGAAGGGAAATACGTGTAAAATAAAATAAACAAATATACAAATTAATTTAAAAGAAACTGTTTTCTTTTTGATGAGGCAGATAGTTTAACTCTTCAAAAATATAATTCTTTAGTATTCCAAAAATCAACGCAAACATAAGCGTTTAAAATTGCTAACTAAACAGCAAGTAACATCGGCTCTTATGTATGATTGAAATCAAACATTTCAAACCGGTAGGACTCATTAAACAAAACTTTTTCGTCAGATTGACCCATTTTTTAATAAATGAAAAAAAACATGAAACAATATTTTACATTATTTCAAAAAGGAATATTTAAAGTTTATTTTCCTTAGTTAGTAGTTTTATTTATTTATTTGCTTTGTATACGAACAAATTGTCAAACGTTTTTAAATGAAAGATGTTTGAAAAACATATTCACAAGTTCGGTAGTGAAGAATTAAAATTACTTTCAACTAGTGCCAAACTTATAGATCATAGCTTTTAAATAATAAACTACTGAGAAATATCTTTTATTATGTTATTTTAAGATTTTATTGTTAAAAATTTGGAAACAATTCAAAAACTCGTGCTGTATAGAGTTTTTTTTTTCTCATAAAATTGGCTCTTCTTTTCCTTTTAAAAATTAATATTTTTGAGTAAAAGAAAATATACTACGTCTCGTTTTGATTTCGAATTATTCTAAAAACAGTTTGAAAATTTTAAAGGCGACTTTGAATTTTTTTTTTTTAATAAAATATGAATATATATTTTTTCTTTTTACTTTAGTTTAATGTTAACACTTATCCTATACTTAAGCGTTAAAGCATTTAAGCTCAATGCAAGTTTCACCTATCAACAACCTAATAATATTCTTTAACTATTCGCAAACAAAATCCACTTCATCATTATTTCTGTGCCACTTTATTTTTGTGACTTATCGTGCATTTTTCGGTCAAAATGGATTTTATAACTGAGATCGTTTTAACTTTTCAGTTGCATGATATTACAAAGATTTGCCTATTTTTCTCCCCAAAAAAATTTCATCCAGTTCTTTCAAAATGTTTTTATTGTGATAAATTTTATGTTGTTGACAACCTTTTTTCAATTCTTATAAAAATGTGTGAATTCTTATAAAAATGCAAGATCGAAGTTCTCAAAATTTGAAAGCACATAATGTTTCCTTTTGAAATGGCTTCCGTTAATCATTAATTAGTTCATAAAACTTCTTAAAATCAGTAGTAATCAAAGCTACAACAATCAAGACGTCAATTTCTAAGCATAATTTCAGATATAATACTTTTCGAATTTCATTAATCAATTCTTATACTCAATTATTTCTCACAAGACTTGTATCATCATTATTTTTCGAATCTCATGGAATATGGTTGGAACTTTAGACCTCATCATCACGAAAATTCGTGATAATAATAATCAAATGAAGTATTTCTCTAACCGGGCAATGCTCTCAAATTTTTAATACTACTTTACATAGCGCTATATAATGTTAAGGAAAATTAAATTAGATGTAAACGTGATACTATAATATACCAAAGATAAATTATCAAATTAACATTATCAAATTGATAACTTATATCATAATTTATTTTATCCTACCATATTTGTCATTGAAGGTGATTGTAAAAACTAACAAAATGTTTACAATTATCTTTAATGTATATTTTTAACAAGCACACTTTTCTGGAATTTTTAACTGTTTGCACCGTGTGCACATTTTAACAAATAGTTTTTAACTTTTTTTTAGTTCAGTAAATTATAAAAAAAATTATATTTTATTGAGTTTGTAAATTAACTAGAACCAGCTATTTTGTCTGCTTTCGGTAAGGTTCAATGGTTTTAAATGATAACTTAAATAATTTTTGAAACAATAATAATGAATTTTATTTATTGCACCAGTTGCGGAGTTTCAGAACATTTTAGAGTTTGAACAAAATTTTAGGAAAAAATAAGCAGCTACACGGAAACTTTTACACTGATATTTTGTTAGCACTTATAATGAAATTATTTTTGTAAAAAAATCCTTTTTTTAAAAGGATCTTTCTCTTAAAAAAATTGAAAAAAATATTTTTTAAGAATATTATTTGTATTTTGTTTCATTTTATTTTATAATAATTGTTGAACATTCGACACAATTTTGAGTTTACGACTATCAATGTTCAACTCCGTAGCCTTGTAATTTTGAACCAAATCTAGAAGACAGGAGAACTCCTGGAACATGTATTGGAAAAAATTGCCTTCGTTTAGGAATTTTTGATGGAACTAACCCGAATTTGCATTGAGAGGAAAAACATAAAAACCTCCTACAGTTAGCCTGATGGTAATTGGACTCCAATCCTGATTATATTTTACATCAGCACTGTGGTCGGTGGGAGTCAGGTGCGGAATTAGTATCAACTAGCCATCGCTGGGATTCGAATCTGGGTCACGCAATTGGGAGGCGAGTGCTCTATCCCCTGAGCCACCACGATTGCTTAATAAACTCAGATTCATGAAAAAAGAAGTTGTTTTTTGATTAATCAAATTACAATATGACATTTAAGAAAGTTAACGTGGAAGACCAAGTTAAGGTCAAAAGTCGGAACATCGTCGCATTAAATTATTTGGAAAAGGAATTGTGTTCCGTCTTTAAATATCTCAGTTAAATGTTTACTTCTTATAAATTTTCAATTTCACTGAAATACAAAGTTCCCCAACAAACAACAATACAACGATTCTATTTTGTTTCTCATGATTGAAATTTAACAGTGGTGCAATTTAGGGTTTTATGTTTCCGTTAAAGTTTAACCATTGTATCATGTAAACAAGTTTCAGAAATACTATTATATAATTTAACTGAGCACCATATTAGGGTAGCAAAAAAATGTAAACCATATTATTGTTCAACATGCTCTAAAATTTCTAACAAATTAATACTTAAATGCTTACGTCAAAGATTAAAAGGAGCGACTTTTTATGACATAAAATGTTTTTAATCATTAATTAAAAGCGTATTTCTTTCCGAAGATCGGAATTTAATTGATTAAGTACCGAAAGACAAACCTAACAGAATTACTATGTTTAATCATAATTTGGAGTGGTTCTTTCTACCGAACTTTATTTATTGCATGCAATTCATTCGAATTTTTTCTGCTATTCAAACACTTTAAATAAATTAAGATCAAAAATTCTATTGAAATTTTAATTATTTTAAATCCAAATCTCCAAAACAAATATTTTAAACGAAAATTAAACATTGTATTTTTTGTAGACAATACTTGTCTCAATTAAAGTTGTTTTGCTCTCAAACGTCATAACTTAATTAATCAAGTAACCTTTTCAATAACAAACAAACCTTAAACAATCATCGTATTTTCATTCTAATGATTTGAATGGTCATTCTAGCGCATCCATAATTCTTGTCATTTATTCTCAAATTCTGAATGAAAGTATGTTCTCTATTGAGGAAGTAAAGGATCGTTTTCCGCTCCAAGTGTTTGTTTTGGTTTGCTCTTAATGAATTCACCCTACTCTGTTCAATGAGTGGTTTGGTTTTATTTTTTATTACAGTTTTCTTATCTTGTCCTACCTTCTTCGGCAAAAATATTAGCAACGAAAAACTCGTTGGCGAAAACGAAGGAGTAAAGTTTGGCGACTCGTTTACCTGTTGCTGCTGCAACCCCTAGGCATGCCCAAACTGTCTGTTGCTCAACTAAGGTGAAGATAGTCGAAACGAAGTTTAGAGTGGGAGATACAGTCAGTGACCCAGGTATCTCCAACACCCTGGCCCCAGTCCCGTATGCGAAATCTTACGGAACCTGGCGTAAGATTAAAATGGCTAGTGATAATAGAGCCGGTTCTCTCAGCAAAAGTGTACAAAAACATGCTGGTAGAGCAAAGGAAAGGGTAAGTAAATAAAATATTATAAGCACGTGTTTTTGATAAAATTATATAAAAATTGTTATTTTTAAAAAAATACTTTAAAAAGTTTGCATCGTGAATGTATTTAATAGATCTAACTTTATTATTAATATTTCAGTCATATTTATGGCTTTAAATTCAAGTCATAATCATTAAATTTAAGTCATTTATTTATTTAGTATTTACTCACATTTATTTAAAAAGAGTAAGATTTCCTTTGATCTCATTATTTTCTATACAGATTGAAATTAGTCACATTGTTCAACAACTTTTTTTATAAAACAGAAAATTTTACGATAATACTTTGATTTTATATTTATTTATATAATGTATNTGCAAAGGTCCTACCCCATTGTAGCCGAAACAACCATAATAAATTATATTTTTTTCGAATTATGTACAAAAATGAAAATAATGTTACATTCAGTCATAAAACAATCTAATAATATAACTACTAATAAACCCATGTAATTTGCTTTAAAGGACTATAAACCCATAAAATTTACTATATATTTAAATATTTTAAGCATTTTTCGTTTATCTTTTCTTTCATTATTTAAAGAATGAGATGCATATATTACCTTTCAATTAAAATAATTACCAACAGATGGAAAATTTTTTTAAATGAATAAAAGGGTTCATTAAACATAGTTTTTTCAAAATGTTGTTGAACTAAAAAAGTATAGTAGTTTAAAAAACATTGATTTAGTTCTTAGTCCTTGATTTAGTTTTTATTTCTTAGTAATGTAATGCATAATAATTAATTTTCTCAATAAACAATAAGCAATAAAAAATAGCAATAAGCAATTTTCTCTTTTTATCAAAATAAAAATTGTTTGGTATTTTTCAGACATCGAAAATATTGTTTCCAGTATGTAATCAACTTAAGAATTCAATCTTAATTACTCCTTTAATCTCTTTCTGCTATTTATGCTTCTGCATTTCGCAAATGGTAATATTAACGGGTGTTCTTTATGGTGTTTGAAGAATTTATTGAAATGTCTACTTGGTAAAAAATAATGAATAGATATTTTTAAGATAGAAAATTATTATTATTAAGATAGAAAATTATTTGAAAGGAAATTGAAAAAAAAATCTCTGAAAAAGGTTTTTACTGATAATAAAATAATTTATATTGAATTTATCTCATAATTTTTATAGCGTGAACACTGGGAAGAATGGGTCACAATGTGACAATGATTTGAACTACTAACGTTCAAATGATAATAAAAAAAAAGTAAAAATCAAATTTTCTTCCATTATGTACTACTTTAAACGTAAATGATCATAGACTTACATATTCATATTGAAACATAAATTTTAAAACTAAGTAATAATAGCGAGTATGAATATCTTGTATTATGTTTCTAAATAACTGGCGAAAAAGGAATAATTTTTCCGCCACTTGCTATTCTTAAGAAAAGTTGTTATACTCCTTGACAATAAAAAGCGTCATGATATTAAGGAATAAATAAGAAACAAATGTATAAAATTAAAGCGAAAAAAGCTAAAATATAACGGCAATAGGGAACTATTTGCATAAGCTGGATTTAATTGACACAGCTTTTATAATGTGTTTCCAATGAAACCCTGTTTGTAAAATATTGAAAAGAAAAGAAGAGTCTTAAAAAGAAAATAACAATTTTAAAAGAATTATGGGAACGACATAGAATTTGTGAAAAATTTTATTTCATAGCAACAAAAATTAGTTTTATGCTTAATAATTAAATTAAAAACTTTAATTTAACTGGAATTTAAAACAAAATAATTAAAAATTTTAACTGGATAAATTTGAAATAAATAAAATTAATTTTGATTAAAAGAAAAAATTCAAATTTTAAATAATAGATTAATAATTAATAACTGGAGGAATTTAAATACATTACAATGAACAATGCATGATTTAAAGCAAAACAAAAATTTAAAAAAATTGTTGGGCAATATTATTGAATTTTAAAATAAATAATTACGAATATTTTGTAAGAATCATGAAAATAAATCTATGGAATTACTCGAAGAACCTTTGCATTTGGAAATTGCGTCTTTTAAATACTATTTTAAAATTCTAAACCATGCAAGTATACATCTATTTTTTTATGATTTGAAATTGTTACGTAAATTTATTGTTCTTTCGAAGGTCACAACTATCAAATCATCAATGGTTTCTCATCCATGACTAAATGCTGGGCTATCTTATAGAAATGATTTCACGCTACCTGTGTTTATTTTCAAAATGCCGCGTGCAACTTTCATTTTCTTATTTTTTTCTTGACAGTTTCAAATTGCGCGAGCCATCGTTTATTGAATACGTTACTTTTTTCCCTGAAGCATAGCCGCAACTTTTATGCTTTTGAATAAGATTTATAAGTTATGGCGATTTTAAAATTATCTCCGAGTAGTTTTTGAGAGAAAAAATATGTATAGTCGTAGATAATTTGATAGGTGCGGGATCAATTTTTATAATTCGTTTACACTCTTAGAATTTTCATTCTAAATTTAAAGTACAATAACCGGCAGCAGACTGTCCACTCGATTAACTGTAAAGTTTACGGTAACGAACATTTTTTTACCTTTACGGTTTTGAAACAGTTTATAATTTGTATGGTAATAAGCCCATGAATACAGAACTATACGACTTTTTTCAGCCATTTAAAACTATCATAGCTTCAAAACTGTGAAAAAGAAATTTAACTGGACATAGAAGTTAAGCTTTTCGTTAAAGACACTGCAAGGAGTGCAGGACACTGCAAACTCTTTAAGCATTGAAGGGAAGGGTGGAAATGTGTTGGTGTCAAAGCTGGGACTCTAACCCAGTTCAGTCGGTCTCATGACAGATTAACTCTCTCGATTATAACGTGTATGCAGTTGCGGGTAACTAAGTGGCTTCTTTAGATGGACTTAATTGGTGTAATAAAATTTTGGTTATTTAACCGTATGAGATGAAAACAGTTAATAAACGGCTTTTTATGGTTATTTGGCTTTTTTGTTTGAATATGGTAAAATAGCAATTAAAGAAATTGTTATTTAACCATTTTTTTTTTCAAGAAATTTCAAATAGTGTAATGCAGTTTTGTTCTTGCAGTATAAAGAATGAGTAAATATTCAATACTTCATTTTTAATAGGAGTTAGGTTCAATTTAAAGATATTGTAATGANAGTTAAGCTTTTCGTTAAAGACACTGCAAAGAGTGCAGGACACTGCAAACTCTTTAAGCATTGAAGGGAAAGGTGGAAATGTGTTGGTGTCAAAGCTGGGACTCTAACCCAGTTCAGTCGGTCTCATGACAGATTAACTCTCTCGATTATAACGTGTATGCAGTTGCGGGTAACTAAGTGGCTTCTTTAGATGGACTTAATTGGTGTAATAAAATTTTGGTTATTTAACCGTATGAGATGAAAACAGTTAATAAACGGCTTTATGTGGTTATTTGACTTTTTTGTTTGAATATGGTAAAATAGCAATTAAAGAAATTGTTATTTAACCATATTTGTTTTCAAGAAATTTCAAATAGTATAATGCAGTTTTGTTCTTGCAGTATAAAAGAATGAATAAATATTCAATACTTCATTTTTAATAGGAGTTTGGTTCAATTTAAAGATATTGTAATTCTTTGATTTGTAATGATAAATATTTTCATAATTTTACAGCAAAATTAATATTATATATTGTTAGAAATTTTGAAATGAGTTGAACTTCAATATCGTGCAAATTTGATACAACATTAATACGAGGCCAAGTTGGATCATATTATCGCACAAACTAAACTATTTTAACATTTATTACCCTGCAATATTTAAAATAGTTCAACTTAAACGGAAAAAGGTTGAACTTAGCAACTTATTTATTTTGAAGCCAATCTGCATGATATTAAGATTCAAAGTACTGATATCTTGATTCAATGTTTAACTGATTTTGCTGAGTGTATTCTATAAGTATTACATATTAAGTTTATTTTTTTGGTATGCCTTAAACTATATGCAGTTAAGAAGGATAGATATTTTATGTGGTATTGCAATAAAACAGAACACAATGAAAATTATTGTCTGGATTTACACTTAGTTTTTGTCAACTATAATAATCGTGCTTTTATATGCTATTTTGATGTTTTGCTTTAATTTTAACCTAATTAATTACCTAATATTAAAATATATGGGAAATTTTAAATTTAATCTACCTATAATGTAAAAAGAAGCAAAATTATTTTTTAGTTTACGTCGTACTGGGGAAAAAGTGGTTAAGCTTAGGGGCAGCATTTCATTTTGCGCTTAATTGACATGTTTATAAATTGATAGCAGAAGAATAAAAATAAGCATCTCTTTTGTCGTTTCAAAGACATGTTTTGATTATTTAAAAATTGTACTTCTGACCATATGACCATGTTGCTTGGTTAAGACTTGTGCAGTCAAGGTCTACTCTCCTGCAGGGGCTGTTCATTTTTCTAATAATAAAGTAGATGCCCAAGACCGTTTAAAAATGGCCGTTTTTTTATTCTACGAGAAAGGGTTACGCTCAGACAAATATACTGATTCTGTTAACAGTTACTAACTGTTCCATGATCAGAGACAATGAGTTAAAAAGTACGCTTTACACTTAAAAATCTTCTCAACATTGAACCCCGACATCAGTATCTTGAACCATAACAATAGCATTCAAATTTTCTGCAACTTTAATAAGGTGCTAAAATGAACCATGCTTCTACTCAAGTGGAACAATAGTATAAAGTATTTAAATGCAAGAGGCTTGATAATGTGGTATAATATTAAATTTACAGCAAATTGGAATGGTTTCTGGTTCAACAAGTTACAACATTTCTAACAGTGTAATTTAACTTGAAAATAAGACATTTTTATTAAAATTATATTTAAGATTCACAAAACTACGAAAATTGCAGCTGTAAAAATCTAATTGCTGAAATCAAAGATGGATTTCAATAAAAGAATACAATTAATAAAATTTTGAAAGTTTTTTTTCTCGTAATTAATAA